GTTCGCCAAACTAAGTGGTCGTTACGACTTCTGTTTGCGAAACAGGAGTCAGCTAGTGACAGATAAGTGAAAGTAACATCTCCATCAGCTCATCATGATACCTCTACCGGTCAGCACATCGACTTGGCCGGAGCAAGATTCCAATTAGTGGAATTACTTGTACGACTACTATTAGAAGCTGCTTTGATTCATACATTGGACAATAGCATGAACAGGGACTGTGCGGAGAAGAAATGGCTGGGACTTAAATAAACATCATTAATCGGCTTGAAGGTCAAAGAGATCAAACTGTCAAGAATGACAACCACATGACAACCTGACATCTACGCAGGATTGATTGGTAGGAATTTACATGCACAAACAACTGGCGCAACATTCCAAAAATAAATTCCATTCGTAAATCATACCATTTTGGCTGATGAGCTGGCAAATCCAATCGAAATGGTCGGCCCGCTTGCGCGAAATTATCCGCTGTTTCTAGACTTGATGCATCCTTAACTGTTAACATTAAATCTCTAAATGTTAATAATGGTCTACTTATTAAGAATGCAGACAAACGCAATGCCACTGCATTCATGGATAAGAAAACACGCATCTTCCACAAACCCAGATTTCACGGCTTACCTTACCGCGCCTTGCTTCGGAAGAGGGAGCATGTGGGCATGCAAATGCCAATGGTATTTGAGGACCTGCTGCTATATGTCTATCTAGCATCATTTTGTTTGGTCAAAGCAACTTCGTACGATATTTCGTGAGCAGTTACTCCTCATGATACACATAATCATGAGAATATGCTTATACACCAGAGTATGTAAAATAACGCGTATTGGGTCGAACAAACATATTCTGATGTTTATGGGCTAACATATACACAGTACCAGTTCCTGTAAGATCGTTCGCAGCAAGGGCGGTTACTCGAGCAAACAAAATGATGCAAGTTGCACGTAGCAGTGCAGGTGCTCAAATGCCATTGAGCCCGTGGACTGCTAAAATGTCCCGTATGCAACCAGAACAACGCGGCTATGCAATACAACATGACGTCTGTTCTTGGATGACTTACGCATCATGTTAGTCAAGACCACTGTTGTCGTGGTTTCTGTGATCGTCGTCGTGGTTCACTCCTGTACATCTTCTCTCACTAAAACTGTAAATGATTATATGCATACAGTACAGCGAGGCGATCTTACATCGATGCACTGCAGGTGTCATACACGAA